TGCTCCCCTCAGCAGTGTATTTCAGTCACTCTGCCTGTTCTGCTCCCCACTCTGTCTCTTGTGAATCCGCTCACCCCCTACAGCTCTGGCCTGTGCCCCAGTTCTTGTATGCATAAATAAATAAATCTTTAAAAAAAAAAAGAACTGGAGTACAGGCCAGAGGCATAAGAGGGTGAGAGGATTCACCAGAGACAGAGCAGGGAGCAGAACAGGCAGACTGACTGAAATAAACTGCTGAGGGGAGCAGCGGGAGAGACAGCAGAGGTCTGCCTCACCATGTGTGTATCTTCCTGGCCGGCTGGGAATCGAACCTGTGCTGCAGCGGCTGAGGACAGTTTCACAGTGCTGCGCTCAACCCGCTGCGCACTGAGGCGGCCCCAGTACCTATTTCTTACACATTTGTGATTTGTTTTTTCTTTTCCTACTACCATCCCTTATATCCTCTTACCCCTTTCCCTCTACTTCCCTCTTAAGCTCAGAGCCCTCAGAATGATTACTGCTTCCATTCATTTTTGAAAGTGTTTTATGCTATCAAAATGTCTATGTAAATGTCCAGTATTTGTTTTTATCCTTCTGACTTTTTACTACACGAGTCTCTTAAATGCCCTCCATTATTTTGAAAATGGCTGCATCTCATCATTTCTTATGGGTACATAATAGTCCATGTTATGGATATACCATATCTTCCTTTTTTTTTTTTGTGGTCTTTTTTTTGTGTGTGTGTGTGGGACCCTCGCCGGCGGCCGGGGGGACGAACCGGCGCTGCAGAGGGTGAGGCAGCCTCGCAGCTCAGCGCTCAACCACTGCGCCACCAGGGGAGGCCCTACCATGTCTTCTTGATCCAATTGTCTGTCAATGGACATTTTGATTGCTTCCATATCCTAGCTATTGTTGATAATACTGCCATGAAAAGATATGAATTTTATGTTGATGTTTTCATATTTTTTAGATTTATGCCTGACAGAATTACTGGGCCATACTCTTAGCTAGAGCTATTGAGTTGTGAGAACTTGGGGCAAACACCCTCCTAGATCCTAGCTGTATGATGAGTGATTCCAGAAGAAAAACAGAAAGAACACAGAGTAGGGCTCCGATCCATTTCTCCTATTCATTCCTTTCTCTGTCCATCTACCCCGGGGTTAATTTCTCTCTAGGGCCTTGGAAATGGCTTCTTAGTAGAAGCATTTTACTGAAGAGGGAGCTAAGGTTAGAAATTTGAGCTGCTCCCAAAACTCGCGAACCAAGATACCTGGGGTCACATAAAACAGAATATTTGGACTAAATATACTTCAGTCCAGTATATCTTAGTTCCTCTTACTTCTTCCTGAAAACTTTCTACTGCTCTTCCCCTGACCCACAAAACTGTAAGTTCTATTTGGACCATGGACCAAGTATTCTACACCTAGTACAATACCTGGCATATAATAGCTACCCAATAATAAATTGGATATGAGAATGGTTATTAAAAGTATTTTGGTACTGACCACCAGGTGGCTCTCATTTCCCTAAATCCCAATAGCTTTCCAGGAATCTGGACACTCTTGTAGAACCTTAAGGATTTTTATGTTGAAGGTATTTTCTCAGAGTCACTATAGTTTATGATGGAGTCAGGATCACAAAATCTAAAATGCCAAAACTATGAAGTAATACCCCAATTCCTTAAGGCACCAGCAGCTCCTTAAGCCACTTGGTGCTCCTAGCTGCACCTAGTCCTTTAATTCGTGCAATGACAAACATCACATACCTCGTAACTTGAAATTTCAGCTAAAAATTTAGCTGCGGTACGGCAGAAATAATGTATTAGGATAAATGCTTCCTGAGACTTATGTCAGTTAGCCACAACTGTGCTGTGCTGTATCCCCCTGGAACTTTTGTCTTCTGCTGCAAGTTTCAAAGTACAGGACTCTCAATAGCATCAGCATCATCCAGGAACTTGTTAGAAATGCAGTTTCTCAGGCTCCACCCAGAGCATTGAGTCAGAAACTGTAGGTTGGTGGGTTCAATCTTTTTAAATTTTATTTTGCACTGAAGAACTGGGGTGTAGGCCAGAGGTTTGGGGCATGACAGGATTCACCAGAGACAGAATGGGGAGCAGAACAGGCAGATTTACTGAAATACACTGGGAAGGGAAGCAGCTGGCAAGATAGGAGAGGTCTGCTGTGCCATAGGTGGGTTAGTGTCCTGGCCACGGTTTGAACTCAGGTAGTACGGTGATAGCGCTGAGACTTAACCCATAGGCCACTAGGGAGGCCCAGTAATCTATGTTTAAAAAGCCCACCTGATGACCTCCATGCATGCTTAAAGCTCACCCTGCTAATATAGCCCTCAGATTCCCCATGAGGGGACTACTGAAATAATGCTCGATGATTCCATTTTTCAAACTTTTCTCAGAATTAATTATTTTAGGGTTTAAGTGGTGGTGTGGATAATTTAGGCAAAGCAGTCACAAGGGGAAAGTGGGAAAAGGCTCTGCTACCCTGAGAATCTTGTTTTCCTCCAGCAGAGATTCCCAGGCCTTCATCCCTTTCTCTTTAAAAGATAACCCCACTGGTTCTCATCCCAGACTGATTAATCAACCGGAGAGTTTTATTTTTTTTTTAAAGATTTATTTATTTATGCATACAAGAGCTGGGATACAGGCCAGAGGTGTGGGGGGTAAGAGGATTCACCAGAGACAGAGTGGGGAACAGAACAGGCAGACTGACTGAAGTACACTGCTGAGGGGAGCAGCGGGTGAGTCAGGAGAGGTGTGCTGCGCCTGGCCGGGGAATCAAACTAGTGTTGGAGAGGCTGCAGACAGCTTCATAGGTTGCCTCTTAATGCTTTGCGCCACCAGGGAGGCCCTCAACCAGGGAGCTTTAAAATGTAGTAACACAGAACGCATAAAACATGGAGGTCTACATCCTGAAGATTTTGATCCACTTGATCTGGTGTCCGGGCACCAAAATTCAAGGCTCTTCAAGTGGCTCTGCAATCAGCAGTAAGAACCACCACAAGGGGTTAAGACGCAGTACTATGAAGCTATCCGCAGCCACTGCAGCATGAGTTAGATCCCTAGGCAGGGAGGTGACCCACATGGCTCAGCAGACCTCTCCTGACTCGCCCGCTGCTCCCCTCAGCAGTGTATTTCAGTCGGTCTGCCTGTTCTGCTCCCCATTCTGTCTCTGGTGAATCCTCTCACTGCCCCCCCCCACACCTCTGGCCTGTACCCCAGTTCTTGTATGCATAAATAAATAAATCATTAAAACAAACAAACAAACAAAAAGAACCACTGCCAGGGGCCTCCCTGTTCACGCAGGGGTTGAAAACAGCGCTATCAAGCTCTATGCCAGCCACTGCTGCACGAGTTCGATCCCAGGCCACAGAGGTGACCCACATGGTGCAGCAGACCTCTCCTGACTTGCCTGCTGCTACCCTCAACAGTGTGTTTCGGTAGATCTGCCTCCCCACTGTGCCTAAGGTGAATCCTCTCACCTGCCCCCACCTTTCCACACCTCTGGCCTATACCCCAGCTCTGGTATGCATCCATAAATCAACCTTTTTTTTAAAAAAGATTTATTTATTTATTTATTTATTTATTTATTTATACAAGCACTGGGTACAGTCAGAAGTGCGGGAGGGTGAGAGAATTCACCAGAGTCAGAGTGGGGAGCAGAGCAGGCAGAAGGACCGAAGCACACTGCTGAGGGGAGCAGCGGGCGGCAGGAGAGGTCTGCGCGCCATGTGGGGCCCTCCTCCGGTGGCTGGGGAGTAGCCGGAGATCGAACGGGCGCTGCAGAGGGTGCGGGCAGCTTCGCAACCCAACGCTCAACCACTGTGCCACCGGTGAGGCCCCATAAAGCAATCTTTAAAAAAAACAAAAAACTACCACTTCTACCGCTGTAGAAGTGGACTATATAAAACTGTGTGCACAAAAGTCCACTGGTGTTAGTACCACTAGGAATTACTTTATAGCAAAAAAAAAAAAAAAAAAAAAGTGGGGGGGGTGGACCTAAAGGATTACTAATCTTCTCCAACCCTCTCCCTCTTCTGCAGAAAGGAGTAATTTACATACCAGTCTAGTTCAGTGATTCTCAAAGGGTGATCCAGAAACCCCTAGAGAGATCTGACACACTTTCAGGGAGTCCCAAAGATCAAAACTTCTTACATTACTCATCTGTTTCAATTTCATTCTCTCTAGTTGTCTTCCAGGGCTAGGGGCTAAGTGGTGTGGTGTCACTGCTTTGATGTGGACAGAAGTGTACCTGTGTTGTCTTAAAAATGGTTCAACCTCTGACATGATAGTTATCAATTGTTATACCTCTGAAAAATAAAAACTCCGTGGGGGTCTTCTGTAAATTTCAAGGCCAGAAAGTTTGTAGTAGTTTTCAGGCTTTTCAGCCCTCCTGCTAACAGAATTGTCCTGCCTGATGGGGCACCTGCATTTGTTACATTATTATAAGTTGTATTGTTTACCTCTGTGGGCCATGGCTGCAGTATTCAGATAGTCAGCAAGAGAAGCAGAGGCAGGATTGAGGCCAAAGACAGAAGCCCAGCGTGAAGACTTGTCAAGGGCTCCCCCCCGCCCCCCCATCTGTGCCTGCCCTGTACCTGGTTGCTGCACTACATGTAAAAGCTCAATAAAAGCCTGAGAAAGCCACTGAGGGCTCCAGGACTTCTTTACCCGACTGGTCTGCTCAAATCTTAAGAAAACCTGCTCAGTGGCCCACCCTGCCCCTACACTGGGGTAGCAGTTTCTTCGCAGCATTGTAAATCATAGGCTCTAAAAGTAAGTAGAAAAAGAAATTAGGGGAAGCAACAAGTGGTCAATTGGGGATATGAATAAAAGCATGAAATTTACTTGGAACTTTTACTCCAGAGATTACATACTAACTAAGAAAGAATTATTGGAACCCGAAGGCTCTAGAATGAGCTAGCTCTATTTCAGATGCAATTTGCAATGGCAAGTGGGATCTTGTTCAATTCCAGACCAATTTATGAACCCCAGCAGGTATGTCATAATTCCCTCCCTGATATCCCATAATTCCTTAAATTAGACACAAACACACGATTGTCATTCACTTTTCCGCATACTTTATTTGTTACAAACATACAATTTTTTAAATATAGACTGTAAAACTCCATTTGCAAAAGTCTGCTATTGTAAGGAGTGCACACCAGCAGTAAGGATTCTCAAACTTGTTTTTTCCTATGAGTTTTTCTGTCAGTTTTGCTAGTTAGTGGTAAATACGGGACCCGCCATTTTACAGACCTGTCTGAAGCTTCTGGCTGTATTCACATTGCTCTTTTGAAGCAGCCCTGCTCATCTTGAAATTGACCAGAATCTGAGCTTCAACCTCCAGGCAGTGAGATCAACAGCCCATCTAGACTCTGCTTTTGAACGGTTTCCAGGAAGTGTGATTTCTGAATGGGTACTGCACTTAACGGATTTGTTTGAATTGCCCATGCAGCTGTTTGTTAAAGTGCATTTTTCTTTTAAAAAATAAGAGGCATAATCTTTACTCTTTAACCAAGGTACTTAAAAAAATGAGCTTTTTGGTCTCTCAGCAGATATTCCCAAATTGATCCTATCACTACAAACTTTAGTGTTCTATTTACAAATATTTATAGGGTTATAGGTGAAGGGGACCTTATACAATTAAAGGTGCAGCTTCTCTTGAAGCAGAAATCCGTTCTACAAATTCATACATAGGAATACACACTTGGTTTACAATGCACAAGCATGTGGGTATTTACACAGACTGAAGACATCCCCAAAAAACTTTTAAACTAACCTCCAACCTAAATTCTAGTTGTACATCTAGATTAGGAAGCTGTCTCCTGCTATCAATATTTGGTTTTCATTCATTCAAATGACTTCTATAGATGCTCTACATGCAGAACATCAGTTCCAACTTTGTAGTAAAGAATCTAATCTAAGGAAGCCCCTGGTAGATTTGATTGGCAGTGAAGGTTCCTACAAAATGAAAGTATGTTACCTGGGAATATGATCAAGATTAACAATAATCTTGGAAAAACATCTGTATGAAGGTGCAAAAGAACAAGCATCTAAGTGTTCTAGAACTTTAGAAAAAAGGCCAACTACATACACTGATAATTTCTTATTCAAATCTTGGTAACTTCTTAAAACTCAAATATACTCCCCTATTATAACATACAAAACCACGCTAGTATGCTCTGTACTCATCAGTTTCTAGACTTCTGTCCAATCGATAGTCACTTGTAGGAATCAAGTGTTTTTCTACAGAGGTGACATGTGGGCTGGGAGAAAAGGGCTTATATCTCACAGTTCAACAGTTTAAAACTCCCTAATCTTTACAACACAAATGTGATTAGTAATATAATCCTGTTTTTCAATTTTCTTAGGCCTCTCCCTGGACTTATGTTTCTGAAAAGGTAATTTTAAAAAGGGAAGAAATAAACCACTGGCAACTCGATATCCAAATACAAAGATTTTTTGAATCGGTCTGACAGTGCAACACTGGGTTAAGAGTGGAGATGAAAATTTGCCTTTAAGAAATGAGATGGTCTAAATAAATTTTCTTGAAAGTTAGTTGCTTATTGAAGGGAAGAAGAAACTCATGCCTTCTGTAATATGTTAGTGGAAAATGAACATGAATAGGTCTATTATTTTTCTCTCCAATTATCTGGGTCCACACTTCATTAGATCACATGTAACCAGCTCTCTCCTCTTCCATGTCAGTGGATATTTAGATATAAACTAGGAGAATGAAATTTGCTCCTGGACTCAAAATCTCATGTTAGAGTCACAACTTTCATCAAACTATTTAGAATCACCTTTTACTTCAGATAAAGTTCTGCCATTCTTGTATTACAAGTCCTGTTGAGCAGTAAGTGACCAATAGAGCACTGGTCATGTTTTAACATGGCTTTACCTATGTCAACTGGGAGGGCTAATTCAAGAAGCAAGGAGTCAGATTTTCAAACAAAAATAAAAGATTGTTAATAAAGGTGATTATATTGATGGCATATTCTTATTTCATCAGCAAATATAAAATACATTCATAAAGGTCTTACTTTAATCAGAGAAATTACTAGCCTTTGTGATGCAATTTTATTATTTTCCAAATTTAATTTTCAGTACTGACAACTGGATATTTGTCAAAATAAGGGTCTGTAAAATCCATCAATAATGAAAACTAGATTTTAAGCCTCAGGGCTGGGAACAGTGACTAATTAAATAGCGAAGTTATCAAGAGAACAGTCCATCCAAAAGACTTGTTCTCTTGAAATTTGGGGGAGGGAGCATTTGAATATTAATTACTTTGCTTTTCTAGATTAAAAACAGGAAATGGAAGGTATAATTTGCCTCTTCCACTTATATCTGAAATTCCGAATGGGGCATTGACGTGCATTTTTTCCTTTTCTGTCTATATTTTTCTTACAAGTAAATGTGATTTTTTTTCCTTTTTCTCTTTTCTACAAACTACCTCCCCATCCCAGACCCACCCCTACCCCCACTATCCAGTTTATTTAATGGGAATAGTAACTCTTTAGGAAGACAGCTAATTGATTTACAGTACTCTAAAACCAACCCTGAAAACTGACAATCTCATTTATTTACTATAACTTCAGTGCTGTTGTTGACAGAAAAAAGAAAGTTACCTTAAGGCTCAAGGGAAAGTAACCTATTAAATTGTGAATGCAGCATTGTTTACTCTCCCATCCATTGGAAGCTAGCAAAATGCATTCTGGATCATAATACAAACCGTCTAACATTAGCAAAGATTTCTATTATTCTTACACAGAGATAGAACAATATTCATAAGCAGATTATCTATGGAAGCCTGAGAAACCATCCACATCACACAAAAATTCCATGTATTTCATGATCAAAAAGTGCTTTATCTTTGAGAAGTATGTCAGGGTTAAAATGGAAATATACAATGTAAAATCCATCAACACTTTCAGTGAAGTACAAAGTAGAAAAGGAGCTAAAGATGGAGGCTCTGCTCTCTGAACAGGCCTGATGCATGTGACTTTAAGGGGGTACTAAATTAATGTTGTTTTAATAGTTAGTGGGATTTCACACTACTATATATATTCTAAAACCTGAGATTGGACATCAAAGCAGTCAACTTTGTTACATTATCAGATCAATTCTGATACTTCCAAAAAATAGAAGACAACTCAATTGAATTAGTAATTCCAGGATCAAAAACATTAACTTTCTGAATCAAAAAGGAGACGGATCACAAACGCATAGATACGAAGAGTGCTGCAGAACAACTCTCAGCAAACGAGTCATTTCTACATAAGCAAAAAGTCACTTCTCTCCTTCCCCTTCTCACTGATCAAGGCCACACTATTTTCAAATGAATATCTACTGAGAGATCAGTTGTGCATTGGACAAAGTACCATAATTGGGTTAAAAATGAAAACAAAATTTACAGAGAAGAATACTTAATGTGCATGGTTTACACACTTAAGTTTTCTCCTTAATTTCATCCACCTCGAGAGCAAGGTAGATGCAGACAAATATTCACCTTTTAATATCTTGCGTAGATCATTCTACCCCCCTGTAAATAAAGCCAGTCAAAGTCACATTTAACAAAGCATCCTCAGCAACTATAGTGCCTTAAGTTTGCAGCCATCTACAGACCACTCAATATGAGGGCATTATTATAACCAGCCTCTTTTGCCCACAACCCTGCATTTTCAGATAAGACAGGATACTTGTTTTGTTTTGAGGAAACTGAAGCTTGATTCTCTTGAAAGACCTGCAATTTATTGCAAAGTGATAGAGAGGTAACAAAGGAAGCAGGAAGTTAATGGCTGCCTGCACCAAAAGCCTCTCAATCATTTTGCAGTAAATAATTATGGAAAGTGACCTGACAAGCAGCCATGTATGTATCACAGCTACAGTCATTTATACCACCTACATGCCTCCCGTTGTGACATAGGGTGTCCGGGTTTTTGGTTTGGTTTTCACTTTGATTTTTGGCGCCATACAGGTTTTTTACATTTTGTTTCTGTGCAGCATATTGCACTGAAAGCTCTCTTTGTGTAGAACACTGTTCTACTCACTTAATGATAGGGACAATAGAAACCAGAAGGGAATGGTAGGATGTTGTCAAGAGTTTTACTCTTGATTCTGCTCCTAAAATTTCACTTCGCACATCTGCATGTGCAGTAGTTTGAGAAGCATACATTCTACCAATTATCTGAAAAGAATTTTAGTTCCCTGCTTTTCAGGAAAATGACTATTTTGAACAGGTGATTAGCTGGGATGTTAGCCAAAATGAAAAACAAGTCCTAAGTTACAGTTCATAATAGTGGTTGAAAACCACAGTCTGCACAATGCCATTTTCTGACTGGATTTAACAGATCATTTCCTTTCAACAAGCCTACTGATGAATGAGTTCTGAGAAATGATCCACTAGTATCATCTTGTTTAACTATGTCATCTCTGTTCTGCAGATTCCTATTGTCCCTAGTAACTGGAATGAAGATGGGTAAAATGCTGCAATTAATCTACATCCTTCTGTGATCTTCCTGCAGTGGGAAGAGAGGCCATGAACCACCCCTGGCAGGAGAAACAAACCTCTGAGATTGGTTTAGACTTAAAACCCACCACTATGACATTTACCACTTAATCTTACACATAGGCAGGTCAAAATTTTAATATAAATTACTTTTTCCAACACATAGCTTATGCATTCTTTGCTCCTTTTTTTTGGAGAATTCTCAAATTGACATCTAAAGATTTACATATGATATATTACTGTTATATGGTCTAATGACTAAGAAAATTTCTCTGGTAACCAAAGCTGATGCCATATATGGTAGTGTTCATGGCATATACTCTATATGCCTCAGACCACTTCCACATTCTTTCTATTCAGCTAATTATAGCTTAGTAGCCACTGGTGAAGGATTGTGAAGACCCTGTCATTTCTACAGAATAGAAAAGCAAGGCTAGTTACTGCAATTCAGCCAAACAAAAAGAAAAGAAAAAAATAAACCAACCCCTTAAAAAGGAGAGGTACCGCACCTTTGCAAAATTGAACGGCTCACTGCAGCTGAGCAACAGAACCACCAAATGAAGCAAGAAAACAAGTTGGTCTACACAGGAATTGTACATGGTTTGAAAATGAAAGTTATAGCAATCAACGAACAGCCACAACCTTAATTTTCATTGCTGCCTCAGAGTTTGAAACTTAAAGTTTCTGCAAACCAAATGCTAACTTCTCAGCTCTTTTACTAAAACTATTTAGGGATTTGTTCTCCGCAGCAAAGGAAAAAAAAAAAAAAAAACAACACTCAAAACACATATGTAAATACAGCAGGACATTATTGAAAACAGCTGCCTTGTAGTACAAAATACAGTACAAGTATACGGATGTCATTAAAACATCAAAAATACTATTGCTCCCATACAATTTAGGAAACATTCTTTGCAACGGAGAAAAATTAAAAAAAAAAAAAAGATTAAAAAAATCTGTTTAAAAAGTCTACTGTGGATGATGAAAGTAGAGAAATAGTCTGAAAAGGGCACCAATGTTCGTGGCTCTTCCACTTTTTTTAAAATCTAAGATCAATAATATTCTGCATCATAACCTAATTTTTAAAAAGCTTAATTTTATATACACAATTATTTCCCTCCCTCTCAGCCACAATGCATGAAAATGACCTTTTTGAATATTACTTATTTCCCAATAAATACAAAAAGTGTATAGATTGAATACTACCAAAATAAGATAATAAAAAGGGTATGCAATAAATTAAAAGGCAGCTCAAATAAAGGGCAGGCATGCAGTTAAAAAAAAAATACTAAGACTGAGGAGGTGGGGTCACTTGCCTCCTGGTTGAGAAGGTGTCTCACAAATAATACCTGAAAACTTTGGAAAGAACATTAGCTCCCATTCAATTCAAAGTTACCTAGGTCTCTGACATTTTAAGGAATACCTTTTGATAGGGTGGGATTAACTTGATTAGAAAAAAAGATCTCTACTGAAAATCCATTTAAAATATAGAAGAGGCGATCCTTGAAAACCCCAACTTTTATTCTTGAAAGACAGCTGGCTAAACTGGCAAAAGCCAGGTTGTTGAAATTTCAAGATGGTATAAAAATGCTTCCAGGATATAGTCAGCATATTCACTGTTCACTTCAGCGCCATTCAGAAGAATTTCAGTTTCCAAAGGACACATTGCTTGAATCACTTATCCACCATTTGCCAACTTTGATTGTGAGGTACTGATACAATGGATCAAGTTCTTAAAAATTTATTTTAAAAGAATAAATGATGCTGGAATTCTGGACCTGAGGATCTTCAGTATTTGAAAAAAATCCACAGATTAAACTGAAGGTAGATGAAGACTTCAGTTTTGTTATTCCAACTTTTCTGTGAGGATGTATATTCCATTAAAGCTCAAGCTTGTAGTCACACTGTTCCTTTTGTAGATATCTTCAAGTTTTAAAGTTTAAAATCCAGCCAACCAGTGGCGGAAACAGCCGAATTAGCCACACTTCACTGGCTCACAAGGTGGAGCCATAGGGATCTGGCTCTCATTCATACCTAAGCCATTTCTTGGTAATGACCTCCATATATGGAGATCAGGGGAAGAACTTTAGTGAGCAGCAACCAATCCACTCAAACAGTTTTCCTTGTGCTTTACGCCCGATTTCTTCTTGTGCCTACCTCAGAAACCCCCAATGAAAAACTGCTCTTCTAGCTTTGAAAAAATTTTGCCAACTTAAAAAATTTTAGTAATGAATTCTAGTTCAAGGATTGATATCTGAGTTCATCTGCGTCCCGGAAAACAGTTCTGTAACAAAAAGACTTGGGCCTTGGTCCAGGTTCCATGCAAAACCATTTTAGACAAAACGGATCCAATTTGTTTCTGTATTCCCCAATGGCTTCTTGAATTCTTATTTTGCCCTGTCCATGATTAAACTTGTATTCCTTTTCATGAAACCGGTATCCGCATAAGTGGGTAACTGCAAAGGCCCTTTTCTCAAGAATTCCACGAAGGCCTAGATCCAAAATGCTGATTTCAATGGAGGTGAAGGGAAAGACACTGCAATACTGAGTTCTGAAGAGATCTTTAGACCAGGTTACCCAGGTACAACACAAATTCAGTTGCCATCACGTCTTCTGGGTAACTCAGTGTTCCCTTGGCCCATGCTGGGCGAGGATCTAGTCCCTGCATGGTTCTCCTGATGGGTTTAGGAACCTCAGCTGGGAAACAACAGAAGCTGAGACTATTTTGCTCAGGTGAGGAGACACTGCTGTCCTCTTTGCAGGTTGCTGTCTGTTCCTTGGAACTTTACTGCTTTTCTCTAATTGTCCGCGACTGTTCTCTTACGGTTATTTCTCTTAATAAACTATTACTTAAATTTTAATTTTCTCTTTCTGGGGCCTCCCTGGTTACCCCTGCACTAGCTCACTGGGGATGGGCAGGAAAGGTAGCTCTTTAGCCAAGGGGTTTGTGGTTTAAGGGGTGGGGGGAGGCCTACAGGGAAAGCGGTTATTTTCAATCCTCATCCACCTCCTCGCCTTCAGACTCATCTCCGCCGCGTCGTTCATAGAGCTTATCCCTCTGCCGCTCCTGGATCTCTTTCATCTCATCCGCATACCGGCAAAAGGCGCCTCCGAACTTGCCCCAGGCCTTGAAGGGGACAGTGATGGCGTTGCGGTAAGATGGCTTCACCTCGCTCACTCGCAGGAACACCCCGTACTTGTTGCAGCCTACGTCGAAGAAGAAGCGCTTGGAGTCCACCGTGATGGAGGTGCCTTCCGGGAGCTCCCCGTACAGGCCGGCTCCAGGACCCCCGGCGCCGCCGCCAGTGCCCAGCTCTTCGTCTTCGCCCCCGTAGTCGTCGATGAGCTTGGCCAGCGCATCGCGGAACTCGATGAGGCCCTGCGCGGGCAACGCGATGGTCTGGCCGCTCTGCAGGCCGCCGGGCCCGGGCCCGCCGAAGCCGCCGCCCCCGCCGCGGTGCACCGTCTGGCGGATGCGCAGGAAGCGGCCGCGTTGGTTTTCCTTGAGGTCTAGGTAGTACTTGCGGTTCTCGCGCACCAGGAACTCGCTCTTGAGCGCGCGCCGCGGCCCGCCGCCCTCCTCGGCTCCCGCTGCCAGCTGCTCCGGGCTGCTGGGGCCCAGCTGCGCGTAGTGCTCGATGAAGTCGCCCAGCGCATCGCGGAACTCGGCGGCCACAGCCATGGACAGCGTGAGGCGGCTTTTGGAGCCGCCCGCGCCCACCTCAGCGATCTTGAGGAAGCGGCCTTTGGCGTTCTGCTTCACGTCCAGATAGAAGCGCTTGTTCTGGATGTCCAGCCGCTTCGAGGCCAGCTCCTGCGTCTCCTGCTCGCCGCCGCCGCCGCTACGGGACGCGGACTGGAAGCCACCGGGCCCGCCGCCGCCGCCGCGCTCGCTACCGCTGTCGCCATCCGCCATCTTCTCTCCTCGGCCGCCGCCGCCGCGCCCTGGCCGCCGCCCGCCGCCCGCCGCGCTCGCGCCCCCGCCCTCCGCCCTGCGGCTAGCTCTCCGGGGCCCCCCAGCCTCGCCCGCCGGCTCGCTCACGCGCTCCCGCTGCTCATCGCCAGTCGCCGCCGCCCCCCATCGTACTCACGCCCCGCCCTGCCACTTCCGCCCGTTAGGATCCCGCTTCCGGCGCGCGCCCGTGTGACGCCGCCAACCCGCGGCCCGAGGCGCCGCCGTGGCGGGGCGCAGAGCCGTGACGTCACCAGCACGCTCTGCTTTTGGCCCAGGGATGTGATCCGCAAGTGAGGGTGGTGCGGTGGGAACCCGGCAGTGCCGAGCCGGGGTACTCCAGAAGGAGACGGCAGGGGCCGGGGATATGTGTGGAGGAGACGCCGGGGAAGAACTTCGCCTGTGGGGCGGGTATCGAGGGTGGTTCGGAATGACCTGAGGTTTGGGCTCGGAGACCGCACCTGCTCCACACACTGACTTGTTTTCTAAAGTGGGTCAGTGATTGGACCCCGCCAAGCCTTCCTGTATTTAAAAAAAAAAAAAAAAAAAGTGTGTAAAATACTTCCTGTGGTCCTTATTCCAGAGAGAATGAGGTTTGATAGGGGCAAGATAGGAATATCGTTTGAAAGTGTCCGTCTAGGTTTGAATCATTGTGTTCTTCACCAGTTATTCTATTTTCCCAAGCCAGAGTTTCCCCATATTGAAAATTCAGCTATTAATAAATGATTAATTTGACAAGGGATTTATTTAAAAACAAATATTTTCATTTTATATTAACTTAATATTTTAAATTATTCAAATATTTAAATCTTAAAAGTCAATAATACAATGTGGTAAATAGGCAAAAGATTTTAACATACACTTCACCAAGAAATGATATACATATCCTAAGTGTCAGGCCTTCCTGGTGGCTTAGGAGTTAAGTCACAACGCTCTCACCATTACGGCCTGGGTGCCAGATTTCGATCCCCACCCAGAGAGCTAACCCATGGATGGCACAGAAGACCTCTCCTGTCTTGCGTGCTGCTCCCCTTAGCAGTGTATTTCAGTAAATCTACCTGTTGTGCTTCCCACTCTGTCTTTGGTGAACCCTCTTACCCCGCAATCTCTGGCCTACACCCCAGTTCTATGCAAAAATAAAATCTTTATATATATATATATATGCTCAGTGTTAGCAGAGAAATGCAAACTAATATTACAATGAAATACCAATAAACACCACTACCTTGGCTAAATTTGGACCAACAACTATCAAATGTTGGTGATGATGTGAAGAAACGAATTCTCATAGGATACTAGTTGGAATGTAAAATTTCAAATGTAAAAGCAGTTTGACAGAGAGTTTGGCAGTTTCTTATAAACATTTACAATACTTCTCCCTTATCGATACATTCCAAAAAAGTGAACACCTGAAACTGAGTACAGAGCGTGTATATACTGTATTTATTCCCTATACATATATAAATACATACATAATTACCTATGATAGGGTTTAACATAAATTAGGCATAGTAAAAATTAATAAAATAGAATAATTTTAAATATACTGTAATAAAAATTATGTGACTAAGGTCTCAGAATATCTTATATATTTTTTTATTTATACAAGAACCAAGGTACAGGCCAGATGCACCAGAGGGTGTGAGGATTCACCAGAGACAGCGGGGAACAGAACAGGCAGACTGACGAAATACTCTGCTGAGGGGAGCAGCGGGAGCAACAAGAGAGGTCTGTCATGCCATGCGTGGCCCTCACCTGCCGGCTGGCCAGGATCAAACCGGTGCTGCAGAAGCTGCGAACAGCTTCACAGCGCTGCACTCAAATGCCTGCGCCATCAGGGGAGGACCACATAATTTTTTTTTAAAGATCTATTTATGCATACAAGAGCTGGGGTACAGGTCAGAGATGCGGGGGATGAGAGGATCCACCAGAGACAGAGTGGGGAACAGAACATGCAGACTGACTGAAATACACTGCTGAGGGGAGCAGCAGGCAAGACAGGAGAGGTCTGCCTTGCCATGTGGGTTTCTTCCTGGCCGGCTGGCTGGGGATCGAACTCGCGCTGCAGAAGCTGCGGATTGCTTCATAGTGTGGTGCTTCACCCACTGTGCCACCAGGGAGGCCCTTATACATAATTTTTTGAGCTGCAGTTGACCTCTGGTATCTGGAATGGTAGAAAGCAAACTACAGATAAGGGGGGAATACTGTACATGCGATAAAGCTCATCTGCTTCACTTATGTTTTCACAGGGTAAGTAAAAGTATGTCTGTAGAGAACATACTGTGTATGTACTTCCATTTATATAAAAGTCTAGAAAATGAAATATATATATGTCAGGAAACAGATCAATAGCCTGGATCTGGGAAGAGCAGGGGGTAGGGGGAGATAGATTGGAAATAGCACGATGTAATTTTCAGGGTGATAGAAATAGTCTGCATCTTGTTTATAGTAGTGGTTTCATAGATGTGCCAAAACTCGTTGAAACACACCTTTTTAAAAATTTTATTTTTTACATCATTGTTCATTTTTATTTTTTTATTAAAGATTTATTTATTTATGCATGCAAAAACTGGGGTACAGGCCAGAAGTGTGAGGGGGTGAGAGGATTCACCAGAGACAGAGTGGGGAGCAGAACAGGCAGACTGACTGAAATACACTGCTGAGGAGCAGCAGGTGAGACAGGAGAGGTCTGCTGCACCATGTGTGTTGCTCCCTGGCTGGCTGGGGATCGAACTCATGCTGCAGAGGCTGAGGATAGCTTTACAGTGCTGTGCTTAACCCCTTGCACCACCAGGGAGGCCATTGTTCATTTGCAAACAATATTTGCTTACCCGCCCCCTCCCCACCCCAGGTGTAGTCTGCATAGAATTTCCTTCTCCAATGCACCCATGCACCATCACCGTAGTCCCCAATGCTCCTCCCTCCCTCCCTTTGATCCCTCTCCCTCTTCCTCCTTTGCAGGATGTCTCTAATTTATAATTGTCTGTTTTCGTTTTGTTGTGTTTTATATGGTTATTATTTTTTACACTGATGTCTTATTTCGTTCCCCTATATTCCTCTGATAAGTGAAACCATCCAATAATTTTCTTTTTCCTTCTGACTTATTTCACTGAGCATAATTCCTTCTAGCTCCATTCAAGTTGCTGCAAATGGCAGAAGTTTAACTTTTAGAATGCTGAATAATATTCCATTATATGTGTGTATATATATGTTTGTGTGTATGTGTATGTGTGTGTGTATATATATATATATATATATATCCCACAGCTTCTTGATCCAGTCATCTATATTGGGACATTTGGGTTGTTTCCAGGTTTTACCTATTATAAATAGTGCTGCAATAAACATAGGGGTGCAGGTGTTCTTTTGAATCAATGTTTTTGTGTCCTTTGGGTAGATCCCTAGGAGTGGAATTGCTGAGTCATACAGTAGCTCCATTTCTAGTAGACCGAAGAATCTCCAGACAGCTTATCATAGTGGTTAGACCAGTTTGCACTTCCACCAGCAATGTAAGAGAGTTCCTTTTTCACCACATCCTCGCCCTCATTTGTTGTTGCTAGTTTTTTTGATATGTGCCATTCTTACTGGTTTAAGGTGGTCAACATCCCTAATAATCAGGGAAACAAAACATACACTTTTAAAGTGCAGTTGAGGGCCTTATGGTGGCGCAAGGGGTTAAGACACAGCACTGGGAAGCTGTCAGCAGCAGTGCAGCACTGAGTTCAATCCCCAGCCTGGGAGGTGACCCACATGGCACAACAGAGCTCTCCTGACTCGCCTGCTGCTCGCCTCAGCAGTGTATTTCAGTCAATCTGTCTACTCTGTTCCCCATTTTCATTCTCTGGTGAATCCTCTCACCCTCCCACCACCCCCCCACACCTGGCCTGTACCCCAGTTCTTGTATGCATAAATAAATAAATCTTTTTTAAAAATAAAGTGCAGTTGATTGTAGGGAAATTATACCTCAATGAAGTTAATTTTTCAAGAGAGGAATTAAATGTGGACCTGTAGCTTTAGTTTGTAGAGTAACTTACAGAGTGCCTGAAATACACACAATTGTATAATCATCATTTCAACAACATAAGAAAAGAAGTGATCAAGTCCTGAAGTTTTAATAGGGATACATAATTTAGGGAATATTGAACATCCGTGTACAGACTCTGACAACCATTGTATATGTTAGCTCAGGGCCTCCCCGGTGGCGCAGAGGGTTGAGCACCGTGCTGTGAGCACGGTTGAGCACAGCCACTGCAATGCGGGTTCGATTCCCGGCCTGCCAGGAAGAAACCCACATGGTGAGGCAGACCTCTCCTGTCTTGCCCACTGCTCTCCTCAGCAGTGTATTTCAGTCAGTCAGCCTGTTCTACTCCCCGCTCTATCTCTGGTGAATTCTCTCACCCTCCCGCACCTCTGACCTGTACCCTAGTTCTTGTATAAATAAGCAAATCAAAAATAAATAAATAAATAAAGTACAGAAAAATCAAAGAAATTATTAAAAAAAAACAATATTATATATGTTAACTCAGAAGAATACACATTTTAAAGGTTACATTTGGAAGAGGAAAAGAAATGGACTAAAGAAGGTGTTTGGGGCCTCCCCTGGTGGTGCAGCGGTTGAGCGCTGGGCTGCGAAGCTGCCCGCAGCCTCTGCAGCGCAGTTTCAATCCCGGCCGCTGGCAAGGGTCCCACATGTCGCGACTGACCTCTCCTGTCGCTCCTGCTGCTCCCCTCAGCAGTGTATTTCATCAGTCTGCCTGTTCTGTTCCCCGCTCTGGCTCTGGTGAATTCGCTCACCCTCCCGCGCTTCTGACTGTACCCAGTGCTTGTATCAATCAATCAATCAATCAATCAATCAATCTTAAAAACAAAAAAAAAGGTGTTTGACTTTACATGAAAGGAGGTGTGTGCCTAGAGTCACTCTGCCTAGGTCTGAATCCCATGCTGTGTGATCTTGAGTAGTTCAGTTAATCTCTAAGTCT